CTCCAGCAGCCCACAGGGTTGAGATCAGCCTCTGGTCCCCTTACAGGAACCATCTAACGGGGGGGTGGAGGGAGACAGAGACAATGAACAGACTTCATCCTATCATTCTCGGGACAAAAGTGGTCTATTTTCTAGACCGAAAGCAAACCCTCCACCCCCGTCCCTTTACTACCGTCGGGTCAGTCACTACCTCACCTTAGTCCACCTCTTTACCAAACTCAATTAAGGACAGAATCAACAGCCCGGCTTTGAGGCCGGACGTGGCTTGAGGCTGGAATTGAACTAATGAAGGGGAGCAAGCGGGGCATCATCACTTCATATTTCTCACTTGATGACTGATCACATTTAGGAGTCCAAAGGAGGAGACACCCCAGGTTCAGGTGCCCTGGGTAGCTCACGGCCCCCTCAAATCCTGGTCATCCCAACCTTTGCACTAGCGCCAGAGCTGCTGCTTGCAAATACCTATACTTCTGTTAGTCTTAAAGGTGCCACAGGACCCTCTGCTGCTTGCAAATAAATGCCTTAAACCAAGCTGAAAGTTCATTACCCTGAGTCCCCAGGCTCTTTGCAGAGGAACCGAAGGACACACTCATTCCCCAGTTCTGTGCCTCTGCAGTCAGGACCAATACCCCCTCAATAATACATCTGCAAAGGGACCTTTTTCTTTCGCGCTGTAATCTGGCGAGTGGGGACGAAATCCGTGGCTTTTAGGGACGAGACAGCCTGCTTCCTCAGGGAAAGTCCTGGTACAGTACTTTGCTGGCAAACCCTGTCCCCCGTCCTAGAGATTGCAGCAGGCTACTGTGTGTCTGGAGAAGGGCTTTATAAGAAACTTGCCAGAAATGGGCTGTGGGTTTGTTTGGGGGGGTTTTACGGGGGGGGGGGGGGAGGAATCCGATTTGTGAGAAAGGTTGAGGTCAAGTTTTTGTTTCTTATTTGGTTTTAGAAACTCCCTTAGGAAGATAACAAAATTTCACACACAAAAGTTAAACCCAGCAACAAACCGCATCAAAAAAAAAAAAAAAAAAAAAAAAAAAAAAAAAAAGAGCGAACATGAAGCTTTTTGCAGACCATCACTTTGCTCACTCTGATTTTATTCTATCCCTTTGGCCCACTCTTTGCGTGTATTGTCTATTTAGATTGTAAACTCTTGGGGCACAAACCCTGACTCTTGTAGAATGGCTAGCAAGTTTACAGCCTCCGGGATTATTGGAATACAAACAATAAGCAATTCCTAATTCTTGTGTCCTTTCAGCCGTAGACCCCACAATAAAATAAATGATAAAGCAATAATAAGGCAAAGAGGAAAATCCCATACAGCAATTTGGAATCCTCCGAAATATTTCCCCTCTGTTTTATCGTTGTTGTTTTTTTTAATAAATAAACAGAACGAAGGAGAAGAGAGCAGAAGACTGGAATACACTAGATTTAAAAAAAAAATCAAAGGGACAGGTGAGGAAAAGATAAACAGATGAAAACGACAAAATAATCAAAAGTTGAAAGAAAAGAAGCAAATTAAACAGGCTTGGAATGCATTAGTAAAGCGCAAGCAAGACACAAAGACAAAACTAAAGTTAATTACTTTTGACATGATCAGATCATATGGTTCCATTACAGATTGTGTGCACTCTGGGCTGGCTAGAATGAATGGTGGGGTAGAAGAAAGTAGCTCTCCCTTCTAGGTCTCTCTGCCAAGTCTGGGTTGTGCGCTCTATCCAAGATCCCCTCTTTCTTTACGCGGAGGGGGGGGGGGAGAGAAACACAGTTAACCACCTGTCAGGGCTGAGGACACAATAAGGCAGCCCCCAAAAGAGCTTTTCATGCATGCGTAATATATTTGTTCAGCTATTCACTTAATGAAGCTGATAAATGTGATGCAAAACAATAGTCAAGTTAATCTATTTAGTAAAATGTTTTGAGACTTTCAAGCGATGTTAAGGAGGGCAGTGTGTTCGGGGACATTTTCATTTCAATACGCTCCTCTCTCCCCTCTTGGGGGGGGGGGTTTCAGGCAACCTATGTGAATATAATTTCTTATAAATGTGTCTTTAATGGGTTTAATTCACCCTTGCCAGCTGTTTTTTAGCTATTTTGTAAGAGCAAAACAAACGTGCCAGGCTTGGAAAGCTAATTAAAATTAGTTTCGGTCACTGGGGCCAAGCTATATTTCCTGCAAACCATCTGCTTGATTGGCACAATAGAAGGATTTTCAAGAAAAAGGGGGATCTAGAAAAGCTTTGAACGAACCAACAGTTACTGTTCCTTGTGTTGAATTCTAAAGGTGAACGCCTTAGGTGTCTTAATACAGCTTCGCACCAACAGCCTGCATTTAAGCTCTCAACGAGGTGGATAAGCATCATTAAAGAGCTTGGAAACGCATTAAACTCGAGGGATAGAGCATTCCCCTCCCCCAGGAAAAATAAAAGCCACGTATATCTTTACTCTATAGATTTTCAAAACAACAAGTCAAAGTTTCCATAGTATACAGAGCCCTTCCGCTCTTTGAATCAGCAACAGGGAGGCTCCAGCCAAACTGCTACCTGGCTCCCAGCTGCACTCGAGAGCCCTACAAAGAGCTTCAGGAGCTTGCAAAAAAGTGTTTAGCAAATAAAGACCAATAAATAGAATGGAGCAAACCGATGACTACAAATCTGTCTCCTTTAATCGCTGCACATGTCAAATAGTGAATTAAAGTTGATGGTTTATAAAGATATTCCACGACCATTTTCCTTTGTGATAGTTTACAGCTGAATAGTACGTTAACGCGTTTGGGTTTGATTTTTTCTGCTTAATTAAAACAAATCAGAACTTTTCATTTGTTTATTATCTTGAAATTGCTCTACAAGCCCAAGGCGGGTACAAGACACAATAACTGTGTGAGTGAGACACAGCCTCTGAAATACCGCTGAGTTCTCCATTTTCATAAAAAATACTTGCCCACGATCCGTTCTGAAATTGATTCATGTTTCTGATTTGCAAGCTGGGCAGCTGTGCAAATATCTTGACGGGCAATGCCAGTTGAGTAAAACGTTGCAGAGCTTTAAACAAAACCTTACCACATCTCTCTTTTACAAGGACCTACAAAAACAACCAATCGCTTATGAGGTTCTGTAGCATCAAATCCCCAGTCTCTGTCTTTAAAAGTTATTTCCTGCTTTTTTTTTCAGGCGTCGCATATCCTCCCTCCAAAATGATTGAGACCTTGTAAATATGACCGACACGGAGTGACATTGTACAAGTGATACTGAACGGGAGGAGATGATCTAACTGACACAATCGGAATTCTGTATATTAGGTGAAGCAATCTGAGTGCCAATGCGAAGTTCTGGCTCTCTCGGACAAGTCCGCGCAGAATACCAGCAGCCTGGGAGTGTGACACACGCAGACTTCAAAGTTTTTCTCCTCGATTTTTTTTTAAAAACTAAGAGGGGGCGACAAAGAACGCGAGTGACTTTTAAGAAATAAATTTGAAGATAACGACATTAAAATGAATGGCAGGAAGCACAAAACCACATGAGCATAGGTCAAACGGCATTAGTCACAGGTTTTATCTCCAGACATTAGAATTCCCTTCTCTTAAACGATCACTGCCTTTGAAAAGAAACTTCCAAAGGAGATCACTTAAAATAAGATCCTTTCGTCCGATTTCTTGGTTTCTTATGGTCTATCTTCCCTTTCAATAGATGTCTAGTCCCTTTTGCCTTGGTGCTTAAGGAATTCTTTATGAGTGTGCTAAGACATATCACAAGGAACTGGGTCCACGTGTGCCACAGCATGCGTTTGACCCAACCTTCCAGAAAATGTCAGCCCCTTTTTTTAAAAACCAGAGAAATTAGCAGCAGTTGGTCTATAGTGAGGCAAAATGCCCCCGATGTATATGTAAAGAAAGGAGTAAATCATCTCAATGGAACATAATGACTGTAAAAACTATGTGTTCTCAGATCCGCCTGGGCTGCTCTTCTAGACACTCAAGTTCTGCTGGGAAATACCGCGTTTGGGGGTGGGAGTTGGGAAGAATTCATTATTTATTGTTTGCAACGTTCTATTCGATTGTTTTATTTGCTACTGTTCCACTTGCCTGAAAGTAACACCTTGAGAGCAGCCAGGCATACAGCATGGTCTCGCCCTATCCGTAGGGAAATGCTATGGTAAGAAAAGAAGTAAATGCAAAAAAACAGAGCAGGATATGGTACCGACAGACTAAGCCTCCCCACTGTGACTTGGAGTAGTGCATAAACTATGCCAGCTTCCAAGTGCAGGTGTTTTGGAACTGGGCTTCATTTGATCTTAGTTAGTTCCTTTGTAGGTCTTGCTGGGGTTCTCTTTCTTCCTTCCTTCTGCAAAACGTTAACACTAATTTTAAAAATCGCAGAGTTCTTAAACTGATATCGAAGATCTTCTGAATCACCATATACTCTTACAAGCGATAGGTTGTTGGAGCCTTGGAATAGCGTTGCGGAAACTTGTCAGCATCATATAATTTCGATGGCCAGTTCCGTCCTCTCTAATAAATAACTGTTTGATTTGAATCAAGGGAGAGGTTTAACAGACTTTCTTTCTTCCCTAATGTGATATAAATCGCAGATGCACTTTTATTGAATGGTTAAAGCATCGACATGGAGATAATCAACACAAAACACCCGGACAAAAACCATCGAGAGAAATAAAGCTGGTTAATAAGATTTTTGAGAAAGCTTTGTGTTAAAAAGTAAAAAGAGAAAACAGCTGAAGGTGACAGTTAGTTCATGGTTAATAGGATAAAGGCTGCATGGCTGAGGCTGCACACTTCTGCTTGCAAAGGTTCCGCAACACCAAAGAACTGAATAGGGTGCTTTTAAAACATTTAACACATCTGTTATATTATTTAACAGAGAAATCAGGTAAAACCACTTTTCAATAGCCTCTTTCATTGACCTACCCCAAAGAAAATTAACTACAATTTCATATATTTCCATATTTGCCATTAAAAGGGCTATCAGAAAATCACTTTTTAAACTATTCCCTTAAAATATTACTTGTTCCCAGAGAAAAGTGGTGGGCTCTCTGTTTTGGGGGACATAATTAAATATACTTTCAGAGACTCAGATAAAAAAAAGCCATTGAATATGCATTTTAGGGAATCTGAGAAGGATTCAAGCTATATTTTTAAAACTGCTGTTTACAAAAAATGGCACTTACTCAAAGAATACTTATGTTAGTAATATGGATCAAGACGTTGGACTGTTTCACTCGCCTTCACTTTCAAATAATGTTTATTTCTACCATTTTAAAAAATAGATTAGATAAACCCTAACAGACGACTTAAAATGTCAATTGTTTGTTGTGTTACTAAAAAGAGTTGTATAGGTCTTTTCTATTTTTAATGTTCATATTTCCTCATAGTTCCTTATGAACTAAAATAACTATTACATTTAAGTTTATTTGCAAACCTGTTGTTTGAACACATAAAATTACTTATTTGCTATCCAATCATCGGCATAGTAACAAAAACAGATATAATCATTCAGATCAGTTTATATTATTCCAAATGTTTGTAGGCTTGATTTTTTGGATAGAAAAGATTGTCTTACATACGTACAGTATACTTTCAAATTTCACTGCATACGATAGCACGGAAGACATTTTCAGAAAACAATCAGATCCAATATCAGGATCTTTTCATCAGCAGTGTTTAATTTTATGTTCACTAATTTGTGTCTTCCATTATTCAAAAATGATGCTTTTTTGACAGCCCGTAGATAAGTTTGTATGAATATTTATTGATTTATTTCCTAAACTCGGCAGGGGAGCAGCAAATAAATTTAGTGCTTTCTTTAAATAATTCTTTTTCTATGAGGCAAGATGTCATTTGAAACTTTTAAATAGGCATTTAATTAGCTTGTGTGTGTTGCTTCTGAACAAAACCCTGCTGGGAGCCTTTGGAGAAATGTATTCCAAAGAGGCGGTCAATATGCAAAATTGATGACTACACTTTCTTTGTTGCAAGGCCATTGTGCATTGCTTGTTTATGAAGTCTAATCCAATCATAAATTGCACCCCTGGACCAATCAGAAAGCCCAGAGCTCTCGATGAATGAAGCTCAAGTGGAGAACTTTGTTGAACCCCTTTGTTCGAGCTGTCACTTTTGAAAGAGCTTTAGCAGGGCTGACCACTATAAAACCCATCATCCAGGAGGAAGGGCAAAGAGAACCCTGCCAGACTTACTAGTTGGATCTTTACTAAAGAGGTTTGCAAAGCAGAAAAAAAAATACCAAGCCAGGTTCCTTGGACCCTGAAAAGTATTTCAGCCTCTGCGATGATGTTCCCAAGTCTCATAGCTCCTCCGGCTGTGTACCCGAATCTCCTGCGGCCAACTCCTACTTTAACTTTGCCTCAGTCTCTGCAGTCAGCCTTTTCTAGCCATTCTAGCTTCTTGGTGGAAGATTTGATCAGGATCAGTAGGCCTGCCAGTTACCTGCCTCGGAACGGCCCTCCGCCTAGCATGTCCCCTCCAGCCTCCGGGACCAGCCCAGCCAGGACAGACACGGTGACATCAGAGCTCGTCAGCTGCAACACCTCTAGCGCTAGGAGGGTCTGTTCCCCGCAGACTTCAGTCTCATCCAATAACGATTCCACTTTCCTGAAGTTTGGGGTCAACGCCATCCTCTCGTCCACTCCTAGAGCTGGTAAGCGTCCAACTTTTAGCGCCTCAATTTAGTGTTTCAGGAGGACTAGCAGGAGCTTATTCCTGTTAACTGTTTTCCAATCGGAAAACCATTAAGTACGTTAAGGGGGAGTGGGGGGTTCTTCCTATACATCACTGCCAATGTTGAAGAAATGATCATCATCTGAGTGTTTGAGGAAGGGGCGGGGGGAGGGAGGGAGAGACCTGCAATCGAGAAGCAGAGACCTTCTGCAGAGCATTGGTTGAAGAGTAATGGGAGGCCCTGGCTCTCCGTTCGTTCTGCCGCATTGCCTCTTGAATCTTTGCAGAAATGATGAGGGTCCCTCTAAATTTCGGAGAGCAGAGCGGTTTGTTTGTTTATCGGTTCTGATAAACGATGCCAAAGTGACTAATCTCTGCCTCGTTAGTATCAGTTCCCTGGCAAAAAGAAAACAAAACACTCCCAGGAACGGGATTATTTTTTAAACTAGAAGCAGGCAGATTAATTTGATCCGTCTGCATCTGCTTTAGGGAAGAAATATTGTATTGAGCTGCTACTTTATCATCTCCACTGCTCTCTTCCTGCTACGGGTGGAATCCTATGAACGGTAAATATCTTTTTTTTTTTTTTCTTTTATTTTTGTCAGAAACCTCCCCTGCGTTGCTTCCGAGTGTCCCTCCAAAGACATTCTCCTTTCCATACTTTGAAGGATCCTTCCAGCCTTTTATCAGATCTTCTTATTTCCCAGGTAGGTCTCAAGACCCCTCCGCCTTCCCTCTCCTGACTCCTATCTCATCGCTCTCCTCCACTCCCACCCCCCTTACTTGTTCCAGGCATATCCCAGTCATATTTCTCCGTCCACCCTTGGGGGTTATGCTCTAGTTCAGAGGTTGGACGGAGAACAACATTCAAGAATCAGTCGCGCCAATTTGATGCCCTATTTAGCACAAGCAGTGACTGCTTGACATTTCGTACCAATTCCCCCCTGATCTACAAATTAGCCGGAATTGTCATGGTCCAAATTTGAGGCGGTTCCCTTCTCACAGAGATCCTCTTCATGGCTGCGGTTTTCCCACAGAGTCAGTGCACTCTGCCGGTGATCCCCAACAAAAGTTTCAGCACCATGACCAATTTGGTCAGCTCCCTCTGGGCAGCCACACACAGACCTAGCGCTGACTTTACCATGCTGCTGATAGACATTTACCAGCCATGGGCTAATTTCCCATTAAGGGTCATTCAGTGTTCCAGTATTTTCACAAGACCACATGGAGCGTTCCCTTGTTTGGGGTATTCGGTGTGGCAAAAAAGCCACATACATACCCCAAATCCCTGTCCATTAGAAAATTTACAAATACGATCTGGGCAGGTAAACAAAACAAATCAAGACTACGATGAAAAGTCCATTAACCTTTTCATTGCCTACTTTGTGTCTTCAGTGTCATATTTATTATTACTAAGTATTATCCCCTTCTCCCAATAATAGTTACATTGAAATGCAAATCTTATCCCCTTACAACCTGAGAGTATATTAATCCTTTCGTTCTTGGGTCTCCAATTTCATATATTTATCTATATTAATTAATGGTTATTAAAATGTAATAAAATTTACACCGATTAAGAAAGATAAAAATCAAGAAGGCTCAGGGTATTGAGATCTGAGTCCTATAGTGTCAGGATTTGGGGCAACAATTAAAAAAAATCTAATTAGACAAACAAGCTATTAATATTTTTTTTAAAAGAGGAAGAAAATAATCCAAGCTCTTCCATTCATGCTCCTGATAATGGAATTTGCTTCTTTTCTCCAGCATGTGAATGGCCTAACAAAAACAACTTGAGCTTTATAAATAGCTTTTCATGTCCATTTAATGAAAATGATTTGGGGAAAGAGAAGACTGTGTCATCAGTATTCTCCCAAGGAGCTTGGCATGTAGTTGTGTTTAGTTTGAAAGTGTAAATCTCTTTTGTTCCAATAATATATGGCTTTAGCTGCTTGTCCTCAGTCTTTTTCTGTTAGTTCATTACTACACAATTACCATTCACGCTTCATTAGAATCTCTGTCTCTCTTTGGGATTTTTTTTAAGGCGAAACTGTGCCCTTTTTATCATACCAATACCATTGGGAACCAGTCAATGTGCTAATTAGCTGTTACTTTTCATGTCTTCGGATTGAATTCTTCAAGTTTTGTAAGGGGGGAGGGAAGATTAATATAAAAAAGATGAATACTGATTGATCAAAACTGCATCTAAAGAGGACTTTTTTGTTCAAACCAGAAAAGTCCCTCATTTTCATCTCAAGAATAATAAAGTGTCTGAAATGATAAAAGCTTCTGAAAAAATCAAATACTTTGGAGAGAGAAAAAAGCTTTTTTATTATACCTCTATTTTAGTTGGTACGCCTCGCTTTGCCTTTTCAAGCTGCAAACCTTTGAAACACATAACAAAACAGCCCACTATTGATACATTTTACACGTTTCAGTTGATGTATCTAATCCTAGTTATCACTTGTTGAAAGGGACAGTTATTTAAGCGTAAAGTTCCTTTCATTGCTTCAGGTTTATAGGTGCTGGTCCATTCAGTGGGATGTGTGTACAGAGTGAAAGAAAGGGGGGGGGGAAGATGGCGAGAGAGAGTGAAAAAGACAGAAAGAAGGATGAAAAAGAGAAGAAAGAAAGAAAAAGCTGGAGAAAGTGCAAAGAAGTTAAAGGAAAGAAGGGGAGAAGTAGAAAGCGGGGGGAAAGCCTGTTTGCAGTTTCTTGGCTAGCTCAGCTTAGTCTCTGCTCTTGTCTCTTTCCCCAGCGTCCTCCTCGGTCGTGCCTATCCCCGGCACTTTCTCCTGGCCCCTGGCTGCTAGAGGGAAGCCCCGCAGAGGGATGCTTCGCAGGGCAGTCTTCTCGGACGTGCAACGCAAAGCTCTGGAGAAAATGTTTCAGAAGCAGAAGTACATCAGCAAACCAGACAGGAAAAAGCTGGCAGCCAAACTGGGGCTCAAAGACTCGCAGGTAACTAACAACCCCCGGGTGGCATTCATCCTGGGCGAGCTGGCATGGGATCCCGAGGACCAGCCATGGGATCAGCATTACGCCATCCAACGGGAGGGCCTTTCGCAGGCCACTGGCGGGGATGTCCGTCACTGGGCCATTGGGGCCAATCCTGCCAGCTGCTGGGCGCCACCTTAAGGGCACTTAGCACACGACTGCCCATCAGGATAAACAGCGTGTCCTTATGTACTCAGCAAATGCTGGTAGAGCCCCCAGAGACACACACGGGGGAGAAGAGATGTGGATTCCCTGGGTGGGGAGTTACAGCGTGTACACAACGAGGGATCGCCTGGCTTGCTGGGATGGGGTTTCCCTATCCTTCCTCCCTTCTCACGTGTCACCGCTTCGCTACCTTTATCCTCTCAAGCCTGGTGCACACTGATGGAGCCTGGACAAGAGCCTTACCCCAAAGATCTTACAATTTAGGGCCCGATCTTGCCAGCTCCCGGGCGCTCTTCGCTCCCACAGACCTCAGTAGGGCTGGCTGGGACCCAGTGCCCTGCGGGGTGGTAAAGCTCCCCGCATCCAGCCTGCGCTCGGGCTAGCGCTGGACAGGGGAGAAGAGATCCAGGGCCAGGGCGGATGCAGTAACCTCTAGAGCTGGAGTGGGAGGAGGCGGCGGCGGCCTGGCAAGTGGAGCAGGGAGATCCGAAGGCTGTTCCAGATGTGGGGCGGGGAGGGGGGCATTCAAAGACCAGCAGAGAGCCCAGAGTGGGAGAAAGGGAGAGCACGCCGAGGCATCGCTGTCAGGAGCCAGTAGAGCAGGGTTGCCCATCTACAATCTGCTAGTGCCTGCTGCGCGCTGGGCACCGACCACACCCTCCCCGAGGCCTCAGTGCCTGCCCCAGGGAGCTGACATGAACTGAGAGTCTATCAGACTCCCTCTGGGCCGAGGCAAGCTTTCAGCAGCGGCGCATTGGGGCGGTGGTAGTGGCAGCCAGGGGGGCTGTAAGTCACACGTGCCCAGCCGCGTACACTACAATTCTGTGTAACCGGAGCCCGGGGCTTTGTGAATCCCTTTCTATCCAGGTGAAGATCTGGTTCCAGAACAGAAGGATGAAGTGGAGGAACTCCAAAGAGAGAGAGCTTCTCTCCTCCGGGGGCTGCAGGGAACAAACCTTACCCACCAAGTTCAACCCTCACCCAGACCTCAGCGACGTAGGCAAGAAATGTTCAGAGGAGGAGGAGGAGGAGGAAGTGTCCCCACTGTGCCCAGCCAGCCCTCGGCACACCCTGACCTACCACCAGTCCCCAGAGCACCTGCACTTGAGGGACAGACTGGACTCCCAGATGCCCCCCTCTCCATCCCACTCCAGCAGCCCCAGCAAACCTTCAGACTTCTCAGACTCGGAGGAAGAGGATGATGAGGGGGAAGAGGAAGAGGAGGAGATCACAGTCTCTTAGATCTCCTGCCTGCCCCCACCACAACAGGGGACTTTGCAAAGATGTAAATCAATAAATAGAAGTATAGAAGTGCTATAAAATTGAAGAGGTGGTGTCCCTCCTGAATGTCTACATGGTTCTCACATGCAAGTTATTTATGGCATAGCCAGGTCTGTCTACACTTATACTCCTTTCCTTGTCTATTTGCTCTGCTTATGAGGCCTTGTATACATAGCATCCATTAGCCTTTCTCTTTGTATCTATGTTTAGCAACCAAACTTGTATGATAGCTGCATTTTCCCCATGCAAGCCACAGACAAGATAACTGGAACACCCTGCTTTGGAAGGCATGCTTGGTATATAGCAAGGGGGAAGTAATTAAATGGAGTGGAGACTGTGGTTTGGAGACAAAATCATGGTAAACGCTGTAATCCTTTTATTAGATTTCAAGCGAACTCCCTGCTATTATTAAGTTATGGAAATGATGAAAGCTGTATGGTCTGATCCTGGAACCCTTGTTTACATGAGTAGTCCTTATACATGTGAGTAATCCCTGTGGAACTATTCATGGACCAGACCCTGCTCCTCTTAATCACATCCAGTAGCACCATACTCCATGTATGTCAGTAGGACATATTTGGAGTATGTTGTTACTTAATTGGGAGAACATAGACCCTCATAAGTAAGGACTAACTGGCATGAACAAGTGTTTCAAAACTGAGATCTATGTGTTTATATTTTAATTGGTGCAGCAATGCTATATATGAAGCACTCTCTAAACCACTTTTTGTCCACACATCTGTGATCAATTTCTACATTGCTTCTAGTATAGGTTTAATGTGGATGGAGGATAATGGATATGCCTCTTTGATTTTTGACTGAACTTTGCTGTCTTTGCACAGCTTTTATGAACTGTACACTATTTTGTACACTTACGCTGTATGGATGTTTTATACCAAGGTTATTGTGAATGAGTATAAAGATGGACTGATAAGATTTCTCTCTTGTTTTTTAATGGTTTTTAAACTAAAAAAGTAGCTGTTTAACTGTGTAACTTATAAAAAACACTTTTATTTTGTATTTTATGTGTACAGATTTTAAATATGTATATATAATAAATGGAATGAATGCCAAATAAAAAGTAGATTTCTGTGGTTGTTCATGTCAGTCTGTTTACAGGCTGCTGTAGGTTGTGTCTGGGAACAAAGGAATGTATGAACAACAACAGGAGAATATCAGGACCAGAGATTATATAACACCCATATCAGCACTTTAATTTAAAACTGCTACATTTCAATTGTGTTACTAAATAGATTTTAAAGGGTATGGGACTGTCCTGAAACCCTTATTCCTATGAGTAGCCCGTACTTTCACAAATAATCTCGCTAACTACAGTGCTATGCATGAGCAAGAGTTTGAATCTTCCTCAGTTATGATTCCATTTTCCTCCAACTCCAACCCTCACCCAAACCAACATCAGAGGGCAAACCCTAGACCCCCATAGGCCCAGTCCTACATGGTGCTGAGCAGCCTTAAGTCCTAGACTGGGTCCCATGTGGTCAGAATGTTTGCATGGGGAGGGAAGAATCAAAGAAAAAGGGAAACTCCGGGTACACAACAAGTTGTTACTCCAAATATGAGAACACCACATCAAGTCTGTGACCCTTTTAGTAACTCAGTTTGGAACAAGCAGACAATTTAGAAGCTTTAAGCCCCATCCTTCCTTCACAATTGGGTGGAGGACTTACAACACAATGTTACCAGGATCTGGCTCCAAGCTAGTAATACCACACTATCCTCAGATCAGTAATGCCAGCAGAGTTGGGGTAGGGCCTGTGCCTTTTATATTTTAAACTGTTTCAACTTCATATTAGGGACTCGATGTTCCACTAAAGATGAGGACTAAGGTCTATGATAACCATTCACAAGTATTTAAAACACCAAGAGCACAATACTTCTTCCATTAAATCCAACAGCAAAACTCCCATTGATTCCAAAGGGAGCAGGATTGGGTTCTAAGAAAGGAGAATAATCTTTAGGATTTACAACTAGAAGTAATGCAATGAAATTAAGCAAAGGAACAATTAGGCTGAATATCAGGAATTATGGGGAGATCCCTAACAATTGTGGAATAATCTCTTAAAGGAAATTATGGGAGCCCCATTGATTGAGACATTTAAAATTGGAACGGGGATTATACTGCATGGAATAGCTCTGAACTGACTGCAGGGATGGATTAGATGACCTAATAGGTCTTTTTCATCTCTAACTTCTATGATTCACTCACTGGGTAATTGTAAAGCTGATCTACAAAGAAAAAGGCATTGACAATTGCCAAAGCACTTATTTGGCATTGGGTGAAGGTTCTTTATTGGTCTGTGCTTAAGTGCTAAAAACACAGTTACATCCCATACATTGTGCCCTTTCTATCAACAACTAAATTTGGGTCAGGATTAATTGATGACCTGTCCACTGACAAGGAAAGACAAAGTCTCTGAGAGCATTTTCTCTCCTTAGTCTCATCCTTTGATATTTTATTTAAATTGATGTTTTGTGACCAAAACTCCACTTATGACATAAGATGACAATAATCATGGCCAAGAGTTTTAAGTAATTAGTGATTTTGGGTGTCCAACCAGAGATGCCTTACAGGAGCCTGATTTTCTTAAGGTGTTCCCATCCTCTGAAAATCAGTCTCCATGAAGGTGTCTAAAGCTGGGCAGCCAAAAATGGAGGCACCCATTGGAGAGCCTAATTACTAATTACTTTTAAAACTCTTGACTCAAGGCCCCTCTGAACATGATGGTTGAAAATTAACAATTGTACATTAACAGGAGTTTTTGTCTCATTTGAGTGCAGTATAAGTCGGAGAGGATTTCTCCCTTTTTGGGAGCAGCTGGAAGAGACAAATTAGTCCAGGGTTAGTATACAATATCCCCCTCCTCTTCTGCTCCCTCCCTATTATCTGTGGATACATTACATCACCTCCACTGAGCACAGTTGGACAGTTCAATTCATGTAACATAAAATGAGCTTTCGTCAAGATTTCATCATATAGCATTAATGACATTAATTTGGACAGAGTTTCAAAAAAACCCACACAAAATGCATAATTAACCTTTGGAACTGATTGCTACAAGATCATATTAAAGTCAAGATCTCAGTAGGCTTCTAAAAAGGATTAGGGATGAAATCCTGGCCTTATTAAAGTCAATGGCAAACTCCCATGGACTTCAATGGGTATGTGTATAATAAGACCATCTGCAGTTACTTTAGTTATCATATGAACATGTGTAAAAAAAATAAGAGCTATAAACACTCATGGAGAAGCCAAACTGTAACTGACAGGGATTAAGAAAAGACTTGTTGTATGGGCAGATTATTCCATTATCGTGCATTAAGAGGTTTCTTGCACCACTTTCAAAGAAAGAATCCCAGGCTAGATGGACCATTAATCTGATCCAGTTTGGTGATACCCACAATACCACGAAGGGTGAAATACACCATGGTGCATTGGGCCAGCACATAAGGTAACCAGATAACAAGTGTGAAAAACTGGGACAGGGGGTGGAGGTGAGGGTAATAGGTGCCTATTTAAGACAGAGCCTTGAATATCGGGACTGTCTCTATAAAATCAAGACATCTGATCACCCTACCAGCACAAGACCTGTACAGTACTTCTGTCCTTGGCTTTCTGCAATGGGGTGAATTTCACCCAGATTCTTGTTTGCACAGACAAGGAGTGGGATTTTCAAAAGCACCTGACTTCAGAGCACAAGGCTCATTGAGTTTGCAGATTTCTGAATACTTTGTTTTGATGTTGCTCTGCACTCTTAAAAAAGTAAAAAAAGTAAAATGAACTTCAAATACAGATAGGGAGAGAAAGCAAAACTTAACACTCTTTCTACTGTCCCATCAGCCTATTCTTCTTCTTAGTTATTGTTGCTCAGCAGTATCTTACCACTAAACCAAGGCATTTTTCACTGCTTGAAAGTAATTCAGACTTACAAGGTTTTGGTCTTTAAAAAGGTTAGACCAGCAGTGGGCAAACTTTTTGGCTTTAGTGCCGCATCTGGGTATGGAAATTGTATGGCGGGACATGAATGCCCAGTGGGGGAGGGGGGACTATGGGGTGTAGCATGGAGGAGGGCTCTATAAGGGATGTTACTGAGGTGGGGGGGAGGGGGACTCATGAAGTGTGCCACGGGGTGGGGGCTGTACAGGGGCAGTACCAGGGACTCCTAAGGGTCTTGCTGACAGTGACACCAAGGCAGTTGTACGAGGCACCGCCATGGCACCCTAGCTGGGATGGGTGCGGCCCCTGGGCAGTTTCGAGGCTCTCAAGGGTGGGGGCCATAGGAGACTGGAAGGGGATTGGGCATGCTGCTGCATGGGGGGGGGGGACTGCCACGTAGGGGTAGGGTTCCAATCCCAGAAACAGCACAGTGAAGTCACGCCTGTGCAGTGTGACTCTGCATGCCAGAAGATGGTGCTCATCAAGGGAATTGTGAGTCAGGGGCTGGGAAGTGCCAGGCGGGTGGAGTGGGGCAAGCCCCCAACCCCAATCCCCAGCAGGAGCTCGAGGGCCAGATAAAAACATCTGATGGGCCGGAAGCAGCCCACAGGCCATAGTTTGCCCACCCCTGGGTTAAACAGATATTAAGGGTGATTACCAACTAGCTGAACATTAATTCAGACTAAGGCCAGATGAATATTGCAGAAATTTTTCTGTGCATAGTTGCTTGCATTTTTAGATGAATTTCATAAGGATTTTAATAGGAATTGCTCATGGGGAGTGGACAACAATGCAGTTTCCTGGGGATGAGGGGAATGGTTTGATTTCCTCTTTCCCTATCCCAGCAGTCCTTGACAGAAATTAGCCATCCCACTTCACCCAGCTCCAATAATTGCCACTGTATCAGTCAAATAGGTGCATTGTTATAGTTTCTGCCAAACTATTTAGCAGTGAATATGATACCATTAATACTTAAATGGGCATCAGACTTTTGGTAGCCTTCTGAGATTAATGGAAGTTTTGACATTGACCTCAGTGGAGCCAAGGTTTAACCTTTGCTTTGTAAGTCTCATCCAAATATATATGATATTGCACAAAGATATTATTATTCACTTGCTACTTTAACAGGAAGCTATGAAGGCAGATCAAAACTATGTAATATATTAACTATATTTTTTGTGAATAAATGTATAACCTGGATCTCTACTGCACTGCCATATAGTATATTGTTTTTAAAACCAACCCAACTCCTCTTGGTGTTAATCAGAAGTGCAGGTCATTTTTTCTGTCAGATTATACACAAAATGGGCAAATGATTTCACTCCACTGAGAATGTTCTTATGTAAAATTTCTCTTGCCTGTATTCTTTATTATTGTTCTTTGATCTTTTACCTACTTTGTGGTAGAAGTGAGGCAACTCTCTGGTAACAACTCTTTTGCATTCAAAAACCAAGGGGGAAACAGAAGAAACAATTACCTTTAATTAAAAGAAAACCACACTAGGGTACAGCTCATATGTGAAAGTTCAATGTGTACCTAGTAGGAGAATTTGATTTTTTTTTTTAAACAAGAAAAATGCATTCAAAAATTATTCCACAGATGACTTTTTTGCTTGGATCAGGGTTTGCACTCTCTGCTTAAATACCACCCCTTGGCATTGAGTCATGAATATTCATCTGAATCTGCTTTAAAAATGGACTTGAAAAAAATCAAACCAAATGCCAATGTATTGCAAAGAAAGAGTTCAATCTAGATACTCAAAGAGTTAAATATCTTCACCTGAATGGGAGTTCAAGAGGTTTGAGGATTAATGTTCAAAGATGCTGATCCTATAGGACCTTAGTACCTCACTTAGCAAGACTGCTTCAGAAGATCTGGGATTATGACCCGGGATATACCACTACACCAAGTTCTCAGGCCTTGTAATTGAAAGCAAGGTCTCTTAATCTACCCTAATATGATAAACACCCAATGTAACAAAATGTATGCATGAGGAGTCCGGACATGGAGAATGAAATAGCAGCCAAGAAGGCTGCCTGAAGAAGAGCTGTGTGTGGCTTGAAAGCTTTTCCCTCTCACTAAACAGAAGTTGGTCCAATAAAAGATATTAC